TGCCACAAAATGCCCTTTGTAGCCACAGTAAAGGCAAGCTTTGGATGTAATCCGTTTTTGTCGCTCCTCTGGCGTCAAACGCGTCCTCCCGATCTGCATGGGTTCAGACTCTGAATGAGAAGCAGAAACAGCTGAAACAGGCGTTGAAGATTCCACAGGTGAGTTGAATACGAGACGCGGGGCATTATGGGAAATGGAGTCTTTTTCCTTTCGCCGCTCACGGAGTCGATTGTCAATACGAATGGATAATGAAATGAGTTCGTCCAGACTTCCGGGCTCATCCCGGGATGCGAGCTGATCTTTAATGGAGTCAGATAAGGAGTTTGTAAAAATACCTTTTAGCGCCAGCTCGTCCCAGCCCGTCTCTTCAGCGAGAATGCGGAAGTCCACAGAGTGATCGGCCACAGATCTCCGTCCTTGGCGGAGAGCGATTATTCTTTTAGACGCTTCCTCCTGCTGGAGGGGATGATTAAACACACGCTCAAACTCCTGAATGAAAAACTGAGAAGTGAGTGTTGACATAGAGTGGGACGCTAAAAAAGCTTGCGCCCATCTTAACGCTTTTCCTTTTAAAGCTGAAACAATATAAATAATGCGGGCTGAATTGGATGGAAACAATGAAGGTGAGCGGGCAAAAGCGAGTCGGCATTGTAACAGAAAACCTGAGCAATGATTTAAATCTCCGTCGAATAATTCTGAAGGTCTTAAATCTGGTTCACGAGGGACATGAGTGGTTTGAGTAGGCTGAATGTTAATATTATGAAGACTGACAGGCGGGTTAGGTAGTAATGACGAGTATCGTGCATCTAAATCAGCTAAAKTCTTTGTCACTCGTTCTAATACGGAGGAAGTTTCTTGTTGAGCATGACATAATCTATTTAACATTTCCTGATGGTTGGCCAGGAGGGAATCGGAAGCACTAGCRGTCTGATTGTCAGGTAAACCGCTCTTTGACACTTCTTTTGGCTGATACATACTATCAGGATTTCAGGTTTTAAGTCAAAGATGAGCAGGTTTAACAGACAAACAGACACGGAGACCAGATAAAAGGTAAGTGTTACTTTATTTACAATTGATAGGGATATGTACAGGGGATCCAGGCTGCGGAGGGAAAGGAAGACGGTGAGTATCCAGGTAAGTATTTAGATTGCAGGAGGAACTTGAGATGTAATAATAAATAGAGATCTTACAGTTTGAGGAGGCGAGCGACACGTAGAGGAGAGGGTCCAAATCCAGGGTGAGTATCCAGAGTAAGTACTTTTCAGGTAGGTGAGTTCTTAAGTGTTTCACAGGTGAGCGTTGGAGGCAGACAGACAACAGCGTTGGTTTCCTGGTGAGTAATGTTGATACAGGCGGGTGGTAAACAGGTCCAAGAGTCTTGAGGATCTTCAGGTTAGTTTCACTGAACACAGGTTTCACAAAAAGCACAAGGTTAACAGATWCAAGATCACAAGAGTAAGACTGGGGGCTGAGAATCATTACCCATAGGAAGCGATGTATCAGCGTTGACCTGCTCACTGGACCCGCCTTAAATAGTAGAACCACCAGGAGGACTCAAATGGTTGCAGCTGTGTCAATTGCTGATCCAATTAGTGACAGATGCTTCAAAGTTACAGTTTAGTGTACTTGGGACTGAAGACTTTCTGAGGAAAGATGTTTTTAAACATCTTTTCTATAATTTTAGTGTTTTCAACTGAGGAGCTTT